AAAATAAATCTTAAAGAATTTTTTCAAGAAATTTTAAAGTAAACCCCAAAATCAAAGCATCCGGCATCTTCGCACGTTTGGCGCGCAGAAGCTTCCCAATAATACTGTTAACATGGAATATCCACACTAATCCGAACAATCTCAGTACTGACGGCATATGTGCAAGATCTTGGCAATTTCAGCTGTTTTTAAAAATTTTCGAAATTTATTTAGTCCTCAGAACTGAGTTTTTTTTGTTTTCTTTAGTCATCATATGTAGCTGTTAGCGATGCTACGTGAAAAGTTGTTTGCGAGATGAACGTTCAAAATGAATATTTGTGCTAAGGTAGTATCTGGACGCAGAAAACTCGGAGAGGAGAATGGAGTTGTCAGAAGCATCAGTGGCGAGCAGCAAAGTTACTGTACCTATTATGCTCCCGAACAAATAATACATGAAGTGAAGCAAGTCCGATAAAAATATTTGCTCGATCATCGCCGGTAATAATGTTTTGATTGCTATCAATCGGTGGGAATACTCGACTTCGAATAACATTCGTTTTCATGAATGCTCCCTGTCGGAACAGAAACTGATCCAGATCTGATGAACCATATATCTGAAGTAAATTTAAATGCCAGAAAAATCGAACTAATTTTTTCAGCTGCAAAAAAGTAGTCATAAAACAATTAATAGATTAAACGACTCGAAACCAAATTTCCTATAGCCCTCAGAAAAATAAAATCTTTTTGGATCCCACAGTTTATTTCTACGCTAATGCATGCAGTTAGATAAAAGCTGTCATCACACTGCTTGTAAGCAGTCCCCGGAACAAACGTCCGTCAACAGACTTGCCAGCGTATGGTTGTCTTTGGCATATGCTGCCGCTCGGACTAGTTTCGAGAGCTACAACTCAGTTGGACGACGAATCTCGGGAGCGAATGTTTTTCCGGAAATTCCCTCCATAGTTTTCCAGTGAGATTTGTAAAAGCTTGAAAGCTTACTGTTGAACCGTCGATGTATGCGGTATTTTCGTTGTACTGTTCTCGTGGTGCGCTGTGTCCAGAGCCGCAAAGTGGCGTTGACCGAGCAACCGGTAAGCACTGGAAACGACCAAAACTAAAAAGATTTTACACTACTTTTTGGGATGACAAATAATTTTAAGACTTAAACGACTGGCTAAACTATGCACTATCAGTTTGCTCAGAACTCACGAAAAAGAGAACCATCGACAGTTTTGCCAGCAGATGGTTGCTGATGGTATTTGCTGTCCGTTGAGCTACTTCTGAACTCCTTTAATGTGCAGAACCATGCAAAAAACTCACGTGGGATCGTGCCGCGATAGAAAAACATTGGCGCATTTAGGATTCGAGGCGCATGATGCGCATTCCTGGTTGTTCAGAGCAGTTGTCTTAGCCATGTCGTGGCCCAGAAATTGGCCCCACTGCATCATCAAAGCATTCGAATTGCTCGTCACCTTAAAGCAACGAACAATTTTATCTGAAATTCGTAAAGCAAAGACGGAAAAAACTAAAAAACCATTCACTGATGAAGGAAATATTACTTGGGTCGTCAAGATCTTCCAGTAAATCAGGTTGTGGATCTGGGATTACTGAAAACATGCTGGGCCTAGTTACGCAGTCTTTTCGAACTGCTTTTTTTCTATCACCACGAGAAGGTTGCACTCTTCAGGAATAATTCGAGTAGTTTCTATTCAGGCAAGTATCGTTCACAGATTCTCGACAAAAAAGATATCAGAAAGAATAAATTGTATTTTTTTTGCAAACTCTCTTGTTTATCTGCACTTGCGATCAGGAAAAGTTTGACCGAAAATCCCTGGGGAACTGATGGCCGTTACTGCCTCGAAGGTAATAGTTAATCACGGAGAAACGAATTTGATGCATTCATGTTTTGTGCATGGCACATCTTAGTATTTTCAGGGTTTTCTTTGACAAAACGAACAATTTGGAAGATTTTGGGGAAACTCCGGTAATCGCGGCGAAAGAAATATGAGATCAAGTAAAACTTCAAAAAAAAATTAATTTGCATGAATGAGCCAAGTCATTCCCTCCGTCGAATTTGCGGAGATTTACCAATTTGCGGAGATGAGTATAATCAACCGGCTTTCATTGAGGCGCATTTGTGACTTAATCAGGAATTTTCTGGTTCAGAAAACTTTTGAATTGTTGAGAACCAACCTGTGCACTTGAAGTAAGCATTAAACGCGAAGCTTCACGTGCTGCTGGTCGGGTACCACGAAGTGATGCTAAAATATAAAAAAATTGGCCAACGCACAGGCTGCCCGTGCGAAGATGCGTTTTTTGCAGAGTTCCCCGCAATT